CAGCATCCCTTGACTTGTATACACTCGTCGTCACCTAGTCACCACTTGGGTTAACCTTAGTAAGGAGCAATATATTACCCAAGAGACGATAGGCATAAGGACCCAAATTGTTTAAACATCCACCACACATCCTCAATATTATTCACATCCAATAGAATGACACACATCCACCTCTTACATTTCACACCAACCAATCAGTAGATAGACAAAATTTATAAAAGCACTGAGACAGAGTTCTCCTAAAAATCTCACGAAAACAGGACAAGCATCACGACCAGACTATCAGCCAAGACGCACGACGATTAACTCAGTACGAGAGACAATAACACATCAGAACTCTGTAATTCAACTCTAACCAGGTCTAGCTCTATTAATTTAGGCTAGGCCGCATCCCAGCAACATTGTCGCATCCGCGTAAACGGGCCTTACAACCCCGCGAAACTCCCACCGTGCGAGTTGCAGTGTTCAGAACGCAACAGTGAGAACTGACAGTTCAGGGATATTAACTGGAGCACCACACGAAGGATCAACGCGACTTCGTTGTTGAGCAATACTTACAATTTTTAATTAAAAACCTGTGTTTTCTATCAAAATTACTTCTTGCATTAATTTTGGGACACCCGATAGAACATAAGTTACTTATTCATGGTTGCTTATGAGCAAAGATATTAATGCAATCTTAAAGAAAATAACGTAGAAAGAAAGATTATCATTGTTACATTCTCTATTGATAATTATAATAACTATGCATTCTTCTCAGCAACCCTTCGCGCTATAATATAAATTATCATGAAGTTAATATAAATTACAATATATTTATACAGTATCCTTTGTATTATCGAATACTATCCTCTACATTCTCCAGAAATTTCATTATCATACTAAACGATAGTGATAATCGTTCAGAAACCATCACAAATTCGAAGGATTTTACTCCCACTCAGGGTTAATTTTATTACCCCCATAAATTCAATTATTTCTCAAAAGCTAATCTGTAAATCGTCACTAGGTCGATCTTAGTTGGCGACGATTAGTGACGGACGGTTCTTTGAGGAAGGTTGAGTCTAGCTTCGAAGTGTTAAGTGGACTGTATTTTAGGAGAACTCTCTTCGTGACTGTTCTGTCGGTGGTTTTATAAGCTTCCTCTGTCTACTGATTGGTTACGAATAATATTGGGGGTGTGTGCTAGCTCCAGCGTCTTTCGGTGGTGATGGTTGTTTAAACAATCTGGGTCCTTATGACTGTCGTCTGAAGGGTGATATATTGTTGCCTCTTACGGTTTACCTAAGTGGTGGCTTAGGTGACAATGAGTGTATAGAAGTCATGGTACGCTGACAATAAGGACATAAAACAGTCTACCACTTGACCTGGGACATTGTGGTCCTAGGGCTCCAACACTGGTACCTATAAAATTTCAGTGCAGTCACATTTAGATACACAATCTGTCTTAAACAAAAGGATGAACGGAATATCGGAAGCGATATTTCAAGGATTAATATAATCAAAGTATCAAACGTTCCAAAACCGTTTCGTTAATCAGAAAAATAAGAAAAATTCCCAAATTTAGGTCACCGACAAGGGTGAAAGATCAAAGGGTGCATCTTCGCTTAAAATTTCTTGCTCGAAAAATTAGCTTCGGGAGTCTTTTGACGCTCACAGACTGAGAGTATTATGGAAAATGAACAGTGTACAGCGTTGTTTCGCGTGACCAGCAATATTAATGGGAAGTTGAATCCCCGATTTCTTTGTCCGTCGCAGATGAGTGGCTAAGGGAAAAGGAAGAAAACAGTTATTGAGGAGAGGCACTTAGCTGCAAGCGGAGAAAATTAACGAGGGAAGTGAGGAAGCATTTTTCAATTTGAAGAGAGTAAAGGAAGAAACCATTTTGGCTTAAGTATCCCGTCCCCGGAAACGGAAACCATACCTTCGTATTGCAATTTCTAATTTTTGTTTCGGTTGATGTATCATTACTTTCCACTTTTCCCTCGTTTTTCTTGACCTTAATGCAATATCGGATCGATCTCTAAATCGAGATGTTTGAAATCGCCTTATAATAGCGGTTCGAGCTGTCCGTGGCAAAGCTATTTACTTTTAATATCTGATTTTATTATATTTTAATAGTATTCAATCTCTTTATATATAATTATGTATAATTTTAGTAGGATTTTGTTATATATAATTCTCTATATTTTCAAGAATATTTTATTTTATTGTACTTTATTATATTTAATTATAATTTAGGTATAATTTTAACCTTTTAACTGAGGAGTTAATTTACCCAGAACGCATTATTATTTAATTTTGTTATATACAATTGTACATAATTTTAATAATATTTTTTTGTGTATTATTATATATAATTCTTACAATATTTAAATTTATTGGAAATAGAAGTGTTGTAATTTTTTGGTACAAATATATTATATTAGGTATATAAAATTGCATAAAAATGTAAAAAGTATGATTATATAAGACACATGTTTGTATAAAATTGATGACATTTGTCTATCTTCACTGTAACTCAGACTTAGAAAATTTTCTGTATACTAAATCAAAATCTAATCAGAAAATTTCATCGAAATTCAATTTTCTCGAAAATAGAAGATACAAATTAATTTTCCCAGATTTTCACAGATCAATTTTTTCCAGTTAAATTCTAGCAATATATCCTGTTAATATGTATGAGAACAATAGTATTACGTAAACGCAAGTTATTTGAAGCTTCATAAAAATTACAATAAAAATTCGACATAGGATGAGAAATAATTAAATTTCTGTTCAATAATAAGTTTTGACAATCGTAACTACTTTCTGCTAATATTCTACGAACCCGTTCACTTTTTCTGTCTATTCAAGACTGACACAAAAAATTGAATTTAGTATTCTACGAAATTGATTTTTATTTTTTTGATATTTAAATAAATCATTTCACTAGACCTACTAAAATTTTCGTATGATACATCTTTTCTGTCAGTTTTTCATACGTAAGTGTGGAAGTGTAAGGTCGAAAATATTGAAGAACAAACTATACTTTCTTCTTGTGACGTATTTTTTACATTTTAATAAAGTTTACTACCACCTATATTTTTACAAGATTTTTTCTTTTGTTCGTGTCTGTACGAAACACTAAAATTTGACTGAAAAAACCTGGATTACCCTAAATAATAATAACTATACTCTAATGAACATATAATGATTACTATACTCTAATGTACATATAATGATTACTATACTCTAATGTACATATAATGATTACTATATTTTAATGAACATATAATGATTAATATACCATAATTACTATACTAATCTACATAAACATTGTTTCATTCCATTAACGCTAAAAAAGATTAAGAATTGTATAAATATTTATATAAAAACTAGAATATTTTTTACTTTCATTAGGTCACAATGCTATGAAACAATTCAACATACTAATCTAAACCTAACTCATATAGAAAGGAGAAATGTGTATGAAAAATTCTTAATTTTACTAGAAATAGGGAAACAACTTAGGATTATAAATAGGACATACGTTATATTACATAAATTTTTATATGACGATTACTATACATTATTATACATATTGTACTTGCAATTAGTTCAAATGAAATAAATAAATCTATGTAAAAATATCATAGTATCAATTTTTATATAGAGATTACTATACCATTCTATGATAATATACCATTCTTTTTCTTTTAACGATTACTATAATACTTTCTAATATTTCATGATACTTTGAATAATAAAAATACTATATTTTCACTGATGAATTTCAGTGAAAGTAGAAAACAATTCCAAGTTTAAAAATTTGTATAGTATAAATAATAAAGCACATTAATTTTCACCTAAAGATCATCGTACACTATTTCAAACTTCGCTCAAATAGATCGTTGTCTACCTACATAAAAATTGATACGAAAAGAATTTAATTTTATTAAAAACGAATAAGAGAGCAAATTCTTAAACAACACAGTTAACCCTTTGCACTCGAGCAGTGACTCTCAGTCATCCTTTATTTAACCCTTTGCACTCGAGAGGCGCCTCTCAGTCGCCATTTGATCAGATCTCAAACATGGATGCTAATTAATATATCAAATTTATAATTACCCAACGATGCGTGGAATATCGAAGTAAAATAATTCTATGTCTTAAATTGCATACGATTTCTTATTTACCATTTTAAAAATATCAATTCTGCCTTATGGCAGAAAGTGTTCTAATTACTATTTTCCTGTAACGAAGAAATCGTCGAGTGCAAAGGGTTAATACTTTGAGTACCACGTGTGATACACGTTAAACTTGATCTGCATGCCACGTGTACCAAAAATGGTACAGGATGTAATAAGTACTCTAAACAAGCTAATTACCTATGAATTCATGATGTAATGACATATTGCGTGATAATGTATCAATCCTTAGCCAAAACAACAAATGGCCTGGAAATCATGTCGGGCAAAAACGGCTTGGCACGCAACGTGTTAAATAACGAATATGAGTCAATAACTGGATTAGAAATAAATACATGTGAAACATTGGAATAAAATACGCGTGATTTTCTTTCTTTTTTTATTTTGGTATAAATGGAAACACCAAGCTTAGAAAAATATTCAGAAAATTTAGAATTATTATATCGTGTCTTTATAACGAAAAATTTTCGACTGCAAAGATTTAACGTATTACCTAGATTTTTACATAAAGATTACTGAATAGATATAGGATTTATACAGAGTTAGATAGATTTTTATATAAAGATTACTCGTACGCTATTTCAAGTCCACCTGAAATCCATTAATTTATATAAAAACCGTTTAATTCGTTTTAGAATGAACATACCCCAGTACAAATAGCCTGCATTTCTACTACATTTGTAGAACCCCGGAATCACCCAGTAAATTCAATAGTGTTAATGTCGAACGTTTGTTCGTGAGGAAATAGAGAGACGTTCGGTAAAAGGAAGATGGAGGATCAAACGAATGTTCTACTCCTTTTTGTTGCAGACGGATTACGACCGACACTTGGAGGAATTGTTGGAGCGCGTGGAAACACTGTTGATCGGGATCTTGCGGAAGAAGTTGAAAAAAGAGAGTTTGGATCAGGTGGCCCATTATCATGCCCTCCTGGAAAATGTTCGACATTCGTCCGCAGGTAAGTCTTCCCAGCCATTTCTACCAATCTTCTCTGCCACGCGAATCCCTTTTTATCCCAAATGTGTCGGAACTTCACTTGCTCGCTAGTTCCGGCAGGATGGAATGGACCTGGATTCTTCAGTCGATGAATGATAAAGTGTTCTAGATAATTTTGCAAACAAACGAAGTATACCAAAATAACTGTTATTGTAAGATTTTAAAAGTAGTGAGAACAATAATGATGATTGGTTGTTGGGGGGTTATACATAAATGTATATTTGTACAGCATCAATAATAATTTATTAGCCAGTTAACTGTGGCGCCTCCTTTTGAGAGCGCGCACCTATATGCGTCGCGAAAATCGAGCGATGACGAGTATACTCGTCAATCACAGAGTAAGTGTCGCTGTTAAAATATTGGATCAAAAAGATGAGTTTATTTTATAAAATTGACAATTTTATTACTAATATTTACTTATTTGGGTAACATCTATTCTCTTATTGGTTAGTTTTTATGGATATCTATGAATTTTAGTGACCGTCGAAAATAGCTAGGTAACTTCGGGCCAGCAGTCATCAATGGCTCAGCGCCTGGTCAGCGTCACGCGTTTGTCCCGTGGCGAACCATCCCTGAAGGAACCCTATCATAAATCAGCTTTCCGACTTTTGCTTTTGCGCCTTTTACGCTAACATCTAAAAAACGTTATCATCGCACATAAATAAATTCGTTATGCGAACTGATAAGCTGTTCTAGCCGGTGCATACGGGGACGCATGAGTTCATCTCAAATTATTCATACCTTTTATTTGTTTGTTTTATTCCGGCCTGGCTTCAAAATATTCTTAACATCTTGAAATTTGAGAATATGTTTTATTTTTCACAAAAATTACAATTTAAATAGTCAATTGTCACTACTTTTTACGCATGACGAGTATACTCGTCATGACACAAAATCCTGCCACTTCTCCATGACCAGTATACTTCCTGAAGATAGGAAGCTCTACAAACACGAAATACTTGTTTAAAGTTTGACAATCATAAATACTAATTACACGTAAAATCACTTAATTGAAACCTCTACTTCACTCGGAAAACGGAAGAAGATTAAAGCAAATATGGCCAACAGACTTAATAAATATTTAAAAGAATACTCGTTGGAGAGATCTCATCTGTATAAAACAAGTACTGCAAACAGTGCTTTATCATAAAATGATTATTCCAATTGTTAATATAATAGGAAAAAGAATACCAACTGTGTCATTACGTATCGACTTTTAAAAATTACATTATTGGTCACATCCACCATATATCTCTGACCTTGCACCTTCAGATTACTATTTATTTCGTTCCATACAGAAATCCTTAAATGATAAAATTTTTAATGACGCTGATGATGTAAAATCACATTTAATTCAGTTTTTTGCTAGAAAAAATCAGATGTTTTATGAACATGGAATTATGACATTGCCTGAAAGATGACAAAAGATCATCGACAAAAATGGACAATACCTAATTGAATAAAATTATATTTTTAAGCAAAAATTTTGAATTTTCCTCCTTATTTAAAATCCGCAATCACTTAGTTGCCAACCCAATATTATTATTACGTCATTATTATTATTCCATGATACATATTCATGATCATACGATCGAAAAGGATACAAGCATTACTGATCTGAAAAATAAGCAAGTGTCTATGTGGATTTCTTGGACAGTAGTGCACACATATACTCACACATTCTTCCCTATTTTACGATCTCTCCCAATCCAGACAAATTGCATGAACATTCGCAGGACACACTTGGTCACGTCTATTCAGAACCTTAGATGGCCATACATTCTTCTTTCGTGCCCTAATCTGAAGTACTCGATCCTTTCTACCACTTCTAACGCTCGTTCGTGAGACTCCATACATTTTCCTGTTTTTATCCCTTTCTTAAATCCCTTAGATACATTTGAAAAGTTAGAATCATTAACACTAGAACTACCGATCTTTAATGGGAACCTAACTATAACGTGCACAGATTATAGTAATTTCAGGCTGCCTTCGGTACTCAACAATTATGATCACAGACACTTTACTCGCTATATATTCTCACTATGATACTGTCGCGTTGCGATTGAATTTTGGGAAAATCCTGACGGGTTGTAAGCCCGTCTCGCGATTCGTTATGTTACCCGTCAAATTAATATTGGACAACTATTTTAAATAACACGAGCAAAAGGATGATCTCGGCTGGAGTCGAACGATAGACTCTGGTACAACGATAGGAACCGATCTCGACTTGACGATTTCGTGGAACTGCTCTCTTCGAGGTCTCGATTGGTAGGCTCGAATTGTTCTCCTTGAGGTTTCGTTTAGAAGTGTGCTTCTCGATTTTCCTAAGATCGGTCTTAGGAAAAATCGGGAGCTCGTCAAATATTATTGGCCAATTGGACCAAGGGCGTTCCCTTGGTCCGCGAATCGGTCACCACGAAGGAAGGGAAGGTCTTTCCAGACGAAGACGGTGGTGGAGGGAACCCTCTCCTCCAAGGTAAGGTATGCGGGGTCCACCCGCGCGCTGGTGACCCAATCGGCCGTTTATGGCCCCTCGCTAGGACCTGAGGATCCCAACGTGTGCGAACCACGTGGAGTCCTCAGGTCTATTGTCAGCTAATTCTCAAGTGCCGTCGCCTAATTTCGTTATCCCCTTGACTACTATGGGCGTCTATAGGCGCTTAAAAATTTTGCGTTTGTGACACAGAGGACGCCTATGGGTGCTTAGAAATTTTACATTTGTGGCACGGAGGACGCCTATGGGCGCTTAGAAATTTTGCGTTTGTGACACGGAGGGCGCCCATAGGCGCTTAGAAATTTTGCGTTTGTGACACGGAGGGCGTCTATAGGCGCTCGGCGTAGTTTAGCTTTGTGACACGGAGGGCGCTTGTTTTCACAAAAATGGCGCACATCGTATCTCAATTCCTGCCGCATAATACCGCCGCTACGTATCAAAATTTGCCGTAGTCTAGGGGTTAAATTATGGTTTTCACGGATTCTCGTGTTCCGAGACACGAGAAGTCATAATCAAAGTGAAAGTTTTCAATCATGCAGAAGGCACGGATAGGAAAATTCCGATGCCGCAGTGTTTGACCCTAAAGACCTGGCTGTTGGAAGACTGTAACGGTGTCTTCCTTGTTCCACGGCGGAACATATCCTGACCTAGACAGTCAATTTTCAGACCTTTTTCTGACAAAGACATAAAGTGGCTTATTAACCCTTAGAGTACGGACGACTCTCTGCCAAAGCGCTTCAAAGGGGCTGTGCGTGTTTAACGCTTACGATCGCTGTGGAAGGAATACTTTTCCCTCGTGCGAGCCTGTTGATTAACTGTTCAAGGCGCAACTAACAAGTTATTATTGTAATTCTTTTGTAGCAGGTTAAATAATAAATGAACGTTATTTTCAAGCATCAATTATCTATTAGAATCAATCAAATTTGCAATATAACTTAACATAAAAATAAGGAACAAAAACTAAAGAAAAATTAATAGTTTATTTGTGTATGATACATTTTTTTATATTGTTAATATTGTTATACGTATACTATATTGTTAATACGTTACTAATGATACTCAGAACAGATATACAAAAGAATAAACCCGTCCTCGCGTCTATTATTTGTTTCATCATTTGTCTTCTTTTACTGTCGTTGCTAAAAAACACACATATATTTGTCTCACATAAAGTTTCATGTAATACTATTCCATAGAAGACCGAAAAAATTGAACAATGCACATATGCGTCCACCGTCCCTGCTGGTGACTTTCGTCGGACGCATATATGCGTCCATAGCGCTCTAAGGGTTAACTGTTATCAAAGCAATTCTGATATGCATAATTTTAAATTATTTGTAATTGTTTATTGTGATTTAGTCTCATTTGAGTGTATATTTCTGCACTGTAAGCTTTCTCTTTTGTCATATAAACTTCCACAAGTGTACTAGGCACCTAGATGTATAAAATTAGATGATTTAGAAGTTAAGAAGATTGGTACACCTCTACCAATTCAATCCTAGATTTTTAATTTTTTAATCGTCTTTAATTATTTTATTTAATTCATTTATCAATTTTTAAAAATATTCTCGTGTCCATCATGCTTCGTACTTCTGTTAGAACTCTTAGGATCATGATCCAGGTTTCCTTCTGAGCCTTGCCCTTTTCTGTCAAGTATGCCAGCAAAGTTTGAACGAAAAGTTGCAAGTCACACTGTCTAACGCTGATTAAATGTGCAACTTTTATTTATCAGTTTAAAATTGCTGAATAATACTAATCTTAAGCTTGCTCCGCATTATGTCCGGGGTAAAGCTGATAAGGCTAAAATTTATTTCCCCGTTACGTACTCTCGAGATCCGCGTGGATTTAAGTTTCTTCTTAAGTTCGCAACTTTTAAACAGTAAACGTCTTTAACCGTCGCAGGACACGTAGCAACGTGGCGGAATTACTGTCATGAATTACAGTTTTCGTTTTACTTCGTGTGTAATACTTCATTCCAGGATTTAAAGTGTCAAGAAAACTCTGGAGTGTCTTGATAATTACTTTCATGGATTTATTCCAATGTTCCTATGAGAATCGTTTGTGCATCCTCTTTACTTTTACGTATACCATAATGATCTAACAGTGAGATCTAGTTAATTATATGCCACAATAATTCAGAAATTCTAGAACAAGAAAGAAATCGTCTCGTGTAGAAGCAAAGTAGGTATTTTAAAATGGGAATTAATTTTCAAATTGTCATTAAATATAATTTTGTTATGCTGTGTCATATGAATCATTTTGGAGAATAAAAATGATACTAATCTGTATCGTTTTATAAATTCTTATTAGGAAAAACTTAACGTGTATATAATTACATACGAAATCCAATATTTAAAGAAATTTAGCACGAATGAAAAATTAGTAAGGAAAATAATATTTAGCAGGTACTAATTAAAAGTACTGTGGGGGTCCGTCCCCTACCATCATTTGAAGTCAGCTTGGTCGCA